GGGGGAGAGTTAGCGCCGGCGGGGCGGGGTACGAGGCAGGTTGGACGGCCGGATGATGACAAAGCCAAATTTCCTAGCTTTCCGTCACGGCCTGTGCACCTCGATCATGATGATCTGTGAAAGTTTTGCAACCATGCCCACCCGGTATTTACGGGCCGCGCAAGCGCCCTCGCACACCGCCGCGCAAGGCGACAGCACAGCGGCTGTGCTGCTGCCTTAAGCCCTTGCAAGGGGCGCCGGCCTGATGCGGCGGCGACGCCGGCATAGCAAGTGCCGCGAAGTCCGCGGCGGGCGCCTATCACACGGCGGCCGCGCTGTGACACCTTCATCGGCGCAATTTTGGTGAAGCTCCTCCTCGTCGCCGTCGGCGGCGGCGGTGTGTAATGAAGCCAATGACGCTTGAAACTTTTTGATGTACATGGTGAGCTATGCGGCCAAACGCAGTGTAGGGGGCTGTCGCCCGGCACATTTGTTGTCAGCCGACTAGCGTCCCCGAACACACTCATTTCGGCAGGCGTCTTGACACGCCAACATTGGCGCACAGGGCGAAGCGCCGCCAAGCTCCAAGGCCGATCGTGCCCGCTCGTTGTGCGCTGACGCACCGCCCATCGCCGCGTCGGCAAAGAGGGCGGGCAGCCGCCAAGCTTTACGGAAGAGCAAGATGACCCGCCCAACAAAGCCGGCAGGCGCGCAGGCACCTCATCGGCATAGACAGACTTCACGGTGCTGATCAAGGTGCTTACAGTTGGCTGGCACCCCAGGGGCTCCGACACCCACCCACAGCAGCTTGCATCATGCAGGTGTGCAAAGGAGCACCGCGTCGGCGTGGGAGGGTGCGTGTGCGGCTTCGCATCACATTGATGCTATTCGTACATACTCTATCGATCGCGTCCTGATTACAGGCGCGGACGCCACGACCGGGCAGCTCGGAGCTTCGCCGCGCCGAGCCCCGTGTAGATGACCACAAAACACGCTTTTTATCATTAACATACACGTATTTTATAAATTGCGAGAAAATTTTCACACAAATCTGCCAAGGACCGCACGTCCGTCGAGCCGCGTTCGTGGCGCCAGTACGATGGAGGGGGGGGGCGCATCGGGCGGTCGAGCAGCGAAGTACTGGGGTGCCTGCATTTCGAAGATCCTGAAGGAGACCCCTCTTGTGTTGATACCTGCGTAGGGACGCACCTAAATCATTTTAAAGCTCTTTGATTAGTACCGTAGAGGCTGTCCGAAGGCAGGGCACAACGCGGCACGCGCCACGCCATGCCGCTTGCCAGCAGCATGCAGCGGGCTCGTAGGCCAGGAGCGCACTGCAATGGCTGCACCCACCGGCCCCGGCGAACAAACCGTGCAATAGATGACGTACTGTACCGGCAAGACACGGCCCCTGCCGAGGCACGGCCCCATGGCATAGGCGTCAAGGGCCCTCGTGTGTGTGTGCGCAAGGGGGTGGATGCAGGGGGCCCGCCCCCCTGGGCATGGTGGGCAGTCAAGTCTCAAGTTCCCTGTTATTTGGAATCTTTGGGGCCGCTGCGTAGGTGGACGCAGGAGGCTTCAGCGTCGTTGCGGCGGGCCGGCGGTAGCAGATAGGGTCGTCTGCTGCCTCAGGGTTTGTCACAGCTACGCGCACTTTTCCGAGGATAAGGCAGGTTTGCCTCGCGGTCGCCCGGTTCTGGAGCCATCCAGGCTCATGGGGCCGAGCAGTGTGTACAAGAAAGAAAGCTGCAGCAGCAATGCCACCTCTACGCACAGCAGAAAAGCAAGCAGCTTTCAAATCCCAACAGGCCGTGTGGCCGTTTATTAGTCATGGCTGCACTGCATTGGGTTGCTTGGCCACAGCCCGCGCCCGGTGCCCGTTGCGCACCGGCGCCTATTGTGCACGCCGGTGTTGCAATTTTTGAATCTGGTCTCTGTGGTTCAAGGGCGCCACTAGCAGCGCGTCGTCGAGTGGTACGCCGGCTTGGTCAGGCGGACGCATGCGCGCCCCATGCCCTTTCTGGCTTCAACCATTTGTGCTTGGCAGCTGTCCGCTCTTCGCGGTCGGCAGGCGCCGGCCGGCTAGCGTCCTTGCATCACTCATTTCGCAAGGCGCATCGACGCGCCAACCTTGGCGCACAGGGCGGACGCTCCTCCAAGGGTGCTCGCGCCCGCTTAGTGTGCGCCGGCGCGTCACCCATCGCTGCGTCAGCAAAGAGGGCGGACAGCCGCCAAGCATTTCGGAAGATCAAGTTGCGCCCGCCTGACCAAGCAGGCAGGCGCGCAGGCACCTCATCGGCATAGACGTACTCCACGGCACTAATCAAGTTGCATTGTAGTGAATCAAATGCATCTCTGCGCAGGAACTGACGCGATGGGGGTCTCCTTCGCAACCTTCAAAACGCTGGCACCCCAACCGGGCCACCACACACGCCTGGCTGCAGCTCCTTGCAAAGGTGCCAAGCAGCACCGCGTCGGCGTGCGCGGGCGCGTGTGCGGCTTCGCATCACATTGATATCTATCCGTAAATAATCCATCGAACACGTCCTGATTACAGGCGCGGAGGCCACGACCGGCGGGGCAGCTCTGAGTTTCGCCGCGCCGAGCCGATCAATAGCACGCTTTTGATCCCGAACCATACAAATATAAATTGCGACAACCTTTTCCCCTCCAAAGCTGCCAAGTACCCAACGTCCGTCGCGCCGCGTTCATCGCGGCAGTACAGTGAGGGGTGCGCATCGGGCGGTCGAGCAGCAAAGTACTGGGGTGCCTGCATTTCGAAGATTCTGAAGGAGACCCCTCTTGTGTTGATACCTGCGTAGGGACGCACCTAAATCATTTTAAAGCTCTTTGATTAGTACCGTAGAGGCGGTTCGAAGGCAGGGCGCAACGCGGCACGCGCCATGCCATGCCGCTTGCCAGCAGCATGCAGCGGGCTCGTAGGCCAGGAGCGCACTGCAATGGCTGCACCCACCTATCCTGGCGGATAAACGGGGCAATCGATGACGTACCAGCAAGACACGGCCCCTGCCGAAGCAAGGCCCCATGGCATATAAGTCAAGGGCCCTCGTGTGTGCACAAGGGGGTGGATGGATGGAGGGGGCCCGCCCCCGCGGGCATGGTGGGCAGTGAAGTCTCAGGTTCCCCGTTATTCAGAGTCTTTGGGGACGCAGGAGGCTTCAGCGTCGTTGCTCAAGGCGGCGGGCCGGCACGTGGTAGCGTTGTCTGCTCCAGGGTTGATGAAAGCAGTGCACATTTCTACCGGATAGGGCAGGATCGTCTGGTGGAGGACATGTCGGTTGGGCCGCAGGCACACACCGCTGACCAACTGATCGCCATCTGCAGACCCGCGTCACCACTAAACTTTCCCGTGTCGTGAATGCACTGACAAGGAAGACTTGCAGCAGGCGTAGCTGCAAGTAGCCTGGCCCTGGCATGCCCACTCTTCCAATTGCCACCCTCCGCAGGGCGCCGCGGCCCCCTGCCGAAGTGTGTGTTTGAACGTTGAGTTGCTCGAGGGTCTGTTGACTGCAATTGGGATGCTTGGCAGTGACAAAAATCTGCTCCAGCACCCAGCCAGGACCCCTGAATGCACCCCGCAGTCCTGACATTCCCCAATAACCCTCTACATAGAGCATCTGCTTGTTACTTGGCATTTGAATAAGCGATCCGCTTTGAAGGCGCTGCCCCGCTTGACTTGCACACAGTGCAGGCAGGCGGCTGAAAACGAGGCGCCCCTGGCGGCCCACGAGCGCCCCATGGGTCTATGTGAATGATTGACTGCATGTTTGCGAGAGAAAGGAAGCAGGTGACGGCGGGGCATGTGCACACTCGTGATGCAAAACGCGTGCAAAAGCCGTCGCCGAGGCGCGGGGCCAGACGCTGCCACGGGTTCGCTTGGCCGCTTGGCGTGACGGGAAGAGCGGGCACGCTCTCAGAAGGCAGGCGCGCTGCAGGTGTCGCGAGTCGGAGCGACTGTTGTGGCGTGTTGCCGTCAGAACGAGGCCAAACGGTAGATGGCCCCCCCCTACGCGACCTGCTGACCGCGCGGCGCCGCGCGGCCACCACCACGGCCGCCACGACCTCCTGGGGGCAGCAAAGGCTTCAGGAGAGGGTGAATGCCCAGGGCGGCCATGCGAGAAGAAACAGGACGACGCGCCGAACCCGCGCGCTGGTGGGCAGCACGCACCACTGGAGGAGCGCCGCTGGCGCATGCCGGCGCCGTGCGCCCGGCCAGCCGGTCGCCCTCCCGCGCGGCTTGCGGCGGCGGGTTGGCGTGGGCGGGGGCGCTGCCGCGCTACTGAGCGCGCGTGAGGCGCTACTGCAGGCCCCCCTGTGGCAGCAGCACCATGTGGCCGTCCTTTGCGATCTCGTCCAGATCTAGCTCCTCCAGCTCCTCTGACGGATAATAGATGATGCTGAGGTGGCGTGTGTGTGGGTGTGAGGATGTTTGTGGAAGATGGACACGACTCTGTAGAATGCGTAGGAATGTGTGCACTGAGGCTGTGTGTGTGGCGTAGATGTGCATTAGTATCAAGTGTGTTTTTGTGTGTGTGTATGTGAGAGTTTGAGAGAGAAAAAGAGAGAGAGTGTGTGTGTGCATTTGACGGCATGCCTGCATGTGTGTGTGGGGAGAGGGCAGGGTGCATGTGCCAGCGCGTGTGTGCAGCACCTACACAGATCGAGAGCGCTGGCTTTGGAAGCAGGTGTTGATGTGACAGGGGCAGCGCGTTGGCGGGACCGGCTGCGCTCGCGGTGCGCACAGCGAGCCTGCGGTGCCAAGCTTGCGGCAGCAAGAGGGCCGCAGCCCGCCACGGCCCCCCGCGGTGCCGGCATGCGACCAGGCAAAAACGTTCATGCGCCGCTGCGCCCCATGTGGCTCACTTTGCCGTCTTGGCGCGCACGTCGATGCGGTCAATGTATACGAGATACCACAGCGCGTCGTCTGGCCAGTAGAGCTGGTGGGGTGGGGGTGGGAGTCCAGCAGGGCGCGAGTTGTGGGATAAGGAGGTGCGAGAGGTGGTAGTGGGGAAAGGACAAGAAGGGGGTGAGCTGGCCAGCCGTGGCGCCAAGTAAACGCGCTGATCAGAGGACAAGGGCTGGGGGCAGCTGCGCATCGCGGCAGCCAGGCACTGCTGGCGGGAAAGGGGTTCGGGGCATGCAGATGCAGATGCAGGGCCCAGGGGGCACAGGGCCCAGATGTGGGGGGATCTCGAGTGCTGTGACGGGCAGGCGCTGACGCTACTGAGGGTCCACATAGATCAAACGCCCCAAAATCCGGCTGACGGCTGGCTCCCGCAACCTTGCTACGAGTCCTGCAGACCTTATCACAATCACGACGGCGTTGCCACCTGTCCCCCATCTCACAGACCACTCGGGCCACGCCCAACCAGCCCGGCTCCCACGCCAGCCGCCCGGCCCGGGCCCCCGCGCGCGCCCGCCTGCCCATCGCCCACCTCTGTGTACTTGCCCTGCAGCCGCGGGGTGATGTCGTCGTGCTGCAACCGCCGCCCCCGCGGGTCGGGGTGCTTCGAGCCGTTGGCGCTCGCGGGCATGTCCTTAAAG